CTTGGTTAGATTAAATCAAGAAGAAATGCACCCTTATTTAAAAATGTTATCTGACATATCTATATGCCATCATTTTGCTCCCACTCAGCACGTGTTTGAGGTTTTATCTCTGTACTCCCTCTTGAAAGTACAGAGATAATTTATGAGCCACTGGTTTACTTGAACAGAATGTGGAGGAACTGATAGCACGGTCATTAGTGAGCTACCGGATATTGTTATATCAGTAATATAATGGCAGTGGTAGCAATACTACTGGCTCAGAAGCTAATCCCAAGCATCGCTGGGCACCCTTTCTTTGTGCATGAGAATAGTAATGCACAAAGCACCTCTCAAGATCCTAAGACCAGTGGGTACTTCTGCAGCGCATCAAACTGCTACCAGGTATACAAATAAGTCCTCAACTACACCCTGTACTAATCTGCAGACGCTTATGTGTATTCATTTCCCTTTTACTTACAGTCCCATGGATTTCAATGGCATGACTCCGAGTACAGTTAAGTTTATGGATATGTGTTTTCAAGACTTGGGCTTTATCAACCACACCACTCCAGAGTTGAGGCTTTGGTCTTTTAATTGAGAAGGGTCTGCACACATTTATGTCACTGAGGGGATTGAAAGATAATGTTGTGTTCATACAGCTTTGGAATACAGCCTGCACTGTTTGGAAAAAAACAAAACCACACACACACACACACACACACACACACAAACAGAAGAAGAAAAATGAAGAGTGCTAAGGCAAACTGTCAAGTGGCACATCATACCTATTTTGTCATTCATTTAGATAACGTCACAAAGGCAGACCAGAGGAGTTCTGTAAACATATACCATACAGTACATCAGCCACGGGAAATAAAAAAAGAAAACAACCCTGTAATTCTTTTCTTTCTGTATTGAAGTTATTGGAATTGAAAGAGATTGCCTGGCCACTAAGGATAATGTTGTGTTTTATGATTTTGTATTTCTCTCTTTTAAAAAAATGCAGTGGTTTGTCAAAAAAAACAAAACAGTCCCTTGATGAAAACTAGGGACAACATGAAAAGTAAATCTGTAAAAAACTTAGAAAATACAAAATATAAAAAGTTTCATAGGCTACCTTTTTCTCGTTTAGGAAAAGATACACTGAAAAGTGTTTTGTTGTTAATTTTCTTACAAAAGTTAAGGCGCACAGTTTGCTGTGGCAAAATGTTGTCACAGAACCAGGTTCTGAATCTATTTCTTTTGTTTGTAAGTATCTTTTCATGCTGAACTTGCAACATACATAATTATAGCTTAAATTGAGCAGAAACAGGGAGTTTGTTTAAAACAAAATGAAATAGAAACTCCCATTGTGAGAATCTTATGAAATCTATCTCTGCACCTTTCAGATAGTGGACCTTTTGCTTTGTTTCTGATTGTGCATGTTTCTACCAGCTAGTCTATATCTAGGAGTGGAGGAAAAATAAACCTGTTCTGAAGCTCAAGAAAGTGATAGAAATCTATATACTGGTACATTCATTAGCCTATGTTAACATGTTTGAATTTGCCACGTAATTTGGCTGCAGTTTCTAAAGAATAGAGGTTAAAATGAAAAAATTAAAGTCTAGCTCATGCAGTGAGACTTGCTGCCAAGAATTAAAAATGCTGGGGCCAGCCGGTATAAGCTGATATAGCTGAGGATCTGACCCTGTCAGTTTAGAATGAAAGTTTTTCTTCCCCACCCACCCAGCCCTGAACAGGAAACTAGTGTTGGTCAAAAAGTAAAAAGCAAAACAAAACAAACAAAAAACCCCAAGCAAACCCAAATCCTTTTTAGGTTCTCTACCAAAAAGCCATGGTTTTTCTGGATTAACATTGGCCCATTAACTATGATGTTCACATGAATGACTGCAACAGCGGCATTAAATATGAGCTGCAATACCTGAACAACACCATGTTCGCAGTGTGAGAAATAAGTGTTTATGGATTGTGCTCTACTTCTAACCAGTAAAGGGCCATGTCTGGCTGTTTTATATAGGCCCATCCAAAGTACAGGCATCTCCTAGTGACCCTACCCTGAGGCAAGTCTTTAAAGAGAATCAGGCCTGAAGTGAGAGGTCTGAAAGAAGGGGAGGATTATCTGTGTAAGTGCCCATTGGGGTGGAGGTAATCTTTCAAGGCTCCTAAGCAGAGGACCTAGGGAAAGACACCTGCCAGGAGCCTCTGTGGGGGTGGGGGAGGGGGAAGCTTCAGCTAGGAAGAGGAGGGCAGTGATGAAGGGTCAAAGGGGGCTGAAGTTCATTATGTAATTAAAGACCTAATGAGGCCAAGGGGAGAGGGCTGCAAGAGTTGCTTTGGAAACTTATTTTTTTTTAAAAATTAGATCCCTGAATGGGAGAGATCTTGTATAAAGTTCTTGTATAAAGAGTTCTTGTATAACCAAGTGGTACCTTGATCAGGAAGGAGATAAGCCCAGGACCTACTGCTGCATTGGGCAAATCCCTGTTGAATGTACATATATGTGTGACTTGGCTGAGCTCAGTTATATTATAGGAAAAGTTAGAAGTAAAGCAAATAGGATATGCAAGATATTAACTTATTTCCCTTTATAGTAAAAAAAAAATGCTAAGGAATTGATATTCTTCCACTGGACTAGAGCTCCACACCTATACTTCCAAGCTGCTCCTTGTGTGGGTTCACCTGCTACAGACTAGTCTCTTGTAGCAACTTTCGCTGGGTTGGCTGCAAAATTCAAAGTTGTAGATGTCAGCTAAGTACAATGGAGCTAAAAATGGCCTGACTTTTAGAGGTGTCTAGAGCTGTTGAAATTCAGCTCCTCTTAAAAAATCAGGTTGCCGGCTTCCAAAACAGAAAAGCAAGCCACTGGTCACATGGCCATACCGATGGGCTCATGACAGCTTTTCCCTTGATAAAGCCATTGACCTTGCGAGCCTGATTGAGATCGAGTGATGTTTTGAAGAATACCAGCTGATAAAACAGGCCCCTTTCTGATCCAAAAAACACACTATTGCCAAGAGGAACCCACTGCACATTAGATCAGGCTTCTTGTGTATTTCCAGTATCTGCTGTGAACATGTGGGCTGTTATCATTTAGCAGGAGCCATGTCTCTAAAGCTATCTTTTTCTCATCTTGACTTACCCTTTGCTGAAGGTCAGCTAGGTAAATTGTGAAAGGTTAGATGAATGCACTGCTATTAATGGCAAAATGGCTGAGCAGAATAAGTTCTTATTTTTAAGTTCCTTGTTTTCTTTTGTATGCTTCATACTATAGCTACCATGAACAAGCATCTTTCTCAACGGCACAGAAAGAAAAGAGTACAGAGCAAAAACTCTGTTTAAGCAGATGTTTGGAACTGACAATTAATGCAGTAAAAGCACCATCCAAGAAAGAGCAGAAATGTCACAGAAACCACCCAAGACTGGAAAGAGGTTTTTTTTGTTGTATTATTTTTTTTGGAAGTCTGGACATTTCAAAGACACTTCAAATAATCCCCAGGACTGAAAGTACTTTAATACCACCAGAATAAATATCCTAATGGTGATCTCACTTCCACTGGTAGAAATCAGAAGCAATTCACTTAAGTGAGATCACAATCAGGCCCATACCCTTCCCATGAAAAAACTGGTTTCTTTTCTACCATAGATAGTAGAGTCTATGGACTAAGATTTTCAAAACCAATTGTTGATTTAAGATGCCTCAGTTTTTGGGATATTCAACTTGAGGCACTTTGGGGGGCATGATTTTCAGAGACCAGCTGACAATAATTTTTTGAAAATCAAGCTCCTTTTAGGTTCCTCAAAGAGTAAAAAATGAAAGTCAAGGCATCCAAAATTATTAGTCACTTTTGGAAATCTCAGACTCATGGACATAGTCCTTCTCCTGAAGTACCTATTGAAGCAAAGTGTCTGTTTGCTTCAGTGGGATTTTGCCAGTGTTAAGACTGGCAGGATCAGATCCTATGCCTCTGAGCATATGAGTGCACCTTGGGTACACTTATCAAGAAATACTTCTCTGAAAAGAGGTACAAAATAAGAACCAGTTCTTACCACCACTGAAGTCAACAGCACTGTTGCAAGGGACTTCAGTGGGTCAGACTGTTAAGGATGTTTGTTTCACATTCCAAAGAAACAGAAACATAGTATTTCTCATATGTCAGTGTTCAGCAGTAAAACCTCATAAATAAACATAGAAAGAGTTACTGAAAAGCAAGTAATTAAATCAGTAACAACATTTCAGTTGTGGTGACAGCTGGATCTTTTTCATGTCAAGTTGATTTCAACTATAATTTAAGGAGATGAAGTAGACACACAATACTGTAATCTGGAAGATTGGTATAAGGCAAAATCATCACTCGTGATTTTTTACAAAAAATAATTAAGGTCCACTTTTGGTTTTACCAATAAGCAGAAATGGCCAATGGCTTTTTGACACCACAAACTAAGCTGAAAAGTTAATATAAAATAAAACTATGCAAATTTTCTGGGAAGGATGTGTCAGAGTTTCAGCAAATTAAAACATTAAAATGACCCAGCCCATACCCCCTCCCCCTTCCCCAAATAAAACATAGGATTTATAAAATAAAGTTAAAAATGTGATTTTTTTTAAGGCTCTCATATCTGGCTTCTGTGAAACTCAGATTCGCCAAAAACATTAGGAATCTCATCAAACTTGCCAGATACATGAAGTAAAATGTAAAAAGTGTTTCCTTTCTATATATATATAAAATAAAATAAATATGAAAACATCTGTTCACTTTCCCATTTTTCTCTCACTCAATAAAAACTAAAAAACAATCAGTACATTTCATGGGAAAATAATCATGCGTTCATCTTCCTGAAGAACTAGAAATCAAAGCAACCCAGCTGCAAGGCAATGGAGGCATTCACTTCCAGTTCACAGTATTGCAGTTAGAAGTACAGTGAGGTCTAAAGAAGTGATGGAGCAGGTGTTGATCAGAACAGGGAAGGAAGAAGTGGTCACATGACAATACAGCATTGACAGCGCTTTTTCTTTTGTGTACCTGGAACTGGTTCCATGGGCAGACTTTCTTCTTTCCCCTCAGGAGAGGAGGGCTCAGTTGTGTCTGACAAAGGTCTTCCAGAGACGAGCTCAGCTGCATTTCCATCCATGGTGGACACATCCGTCACAGTCTTCTCACGCAATGACTTCTCGTCATCTTCGTCAATAAGGACAAGTTCTGCTTTGATAGCTTCATCATAGCCTAGCACTTTCTTTGTCTCCTCTTCATCGTCAATGTTTTGGTATCCCATAAAAATCATTGTCACTGGTTGATCAGCACTGGCCTCTGGGACTGCATCACCAGAGAGTTTTGCTTGGTGTTGAGGATCCATAGAATGCCCTTTACTGGATTTATGCACCATTTCCAACTTTGCCTCCTTGAAGAGCATTTGCTCCTTCGTATGGCTAAGGTTTCCATCTGCTATCACATTTCTGTCTGGTACAGTCACTGTTTCATACCCTCCTCTTACACTTGATTGTCCAGCTTTCTGCATAAGTTCATCAACATCCTTTGGGCTTAATTTATGTATTCCATTTTCTACCACTGTGCCTCCAGAGTGAACCTCATAGACTACCTTGGTACCATCATCATAGACTTTCAGTCCTTTTTGATGAGCCCCCTCTGGACCAACAGGTGTTGTAGAGAGAATCTTGGTCTCTCCTGTCTGTTTGTCCTTCTCCACATTAATTTCCATGGTGTACAAAGCTTGAATGAAAACAAGAGAGGAAGTGCATGTTACAACAAAAAAAGCCAGTGAATGGTTAATTGCCAAACAAAGAACACTACCATGCCCCTTCCTTCTCTCCTAGTACTAAAGAGCCAAGCATTCCATGTTAGAGGTGAAGTGCTGTGAACAGAGCTGGTTATTAAGGGCGCCTATACACGTGCTACACATCTGTGCTTCAATGCGTGCTGATTAGCACATTTTGGAGCAGACTTGATTAATCGAGTCTGCTGGAGTGTGCTAATTAGCATGCTCTAGCAGGCTTTAAGTCATGTATATTCAGTGTCCTCATGCTTCAAAATTAAAGCTTGTCAAATGAGATTTAGTCAAAGTGCCCCTGCCACCATTTTAAAGCATGGGATGCTGAATACATGTGATGCTGAATACATGGGATGCTGCAGGCGCTGTAATTAGAGTGGTTTTCAGAGCTGCTCTAATTAAAGCACCACCCCTCTCCACCCCAGAGCACGTGTAAAGTTGCCCTAAGATACTGCACTTTAAACTATACTTCAAGCAGCTGTATCCTAGGCCTGTGTGCTGAAAACTGGACATAATTTTCCAACTCAGTCTAGGTGGAAGGGGTTCTCATCAATTAGGAGTGTGAAGTACTTTGATTAGGTGTAGTCAATGCACAGCTGACAAAGGAAAGTGACAAGTTAAAGGTTTACCTTACCCTTTTTATTTATTAAAAGATACAGAAATGTTCCCTCTGTATGGGTTCCTAAACAGTATTTTCAAAGGGTTCAGTGTTTTTGAGGCTTCCTAAACAGGGTTTTCAAACATCACAGTTGGATCTTCATGGTACCATGGGTGGTTGAATGCAGTCATCTAATTAAATGCTTCTTGTATAAAGGTGAAATCATGTCAATCCTTTAACCCACATGCATGGGCACTTAACTGCAGTTACCATCATGAGAGATACCACCTGCTATCATGAAACTTACCTGACCATCTCATGATAACCACACTGGATCACAGTGGTATTAACATGCTTTCTATCATTATGGGCAGCAATATATGGTGTATTTTTAGTAGTGAATGACAAAAAAAAGTAAATTATTACTATGCCAGTTACTGTGGTGCACTTCCTAGGAGGAAAAAAACAATACAATCCCTATTTGTGTGTTTTTTTTTAATATACCATAGAACTAATGTACAACTTTCCTAAGCTTGGTTTCAATCATTCCTTCTCTCTCACTATGTATGTATTATCAAGCTTATGTGTAGCTTCCTAGGACTAGACTCCGTCATAAGCATAGGACGAATCAGGGCCTATAAGTGAAATTTGGGGACCTGGTATATCTTTATACTTCCCATTTTGGAACCAGGAAATAGAATCATACAAAAGTAGGGCTGGAAGGGTCCTCCAGAGGTCATCTTGTCCAGCCCCCTGCTCAACGCAGGATTACCCCTATCCAAACCATTCCATACAAGTTCTTGTCTAACATATTCCGAAAACTGTCCAGTACAACTGCCCCCCATTCCCACCTTTCCCACAGGCCTGGGGAAGCCTTCGGTAGTGTACATGTCAGACCTCTTTATGTAGCTAGAGAAGTCAACTGCTGCACTGAACAGTTTTAAGATACCTGAGGTCACTGGGCATCTGAAATTATAGGCAGCAAAATTCTGAGCATTCACAGTAATAATATTCCTGCTTCCCTAGTGTAGAACAGCACATTCTGACTTGTGTTTAACCATGTCCATTCTCCATGCATGGTCATTTTTCACCCTCCTTGAGTTTTTCCATGCCCACCAAAAACTTGGTGAAGAAAAAGGAGGAGTTGCCATAACTTATTCTAACTATACAGAATTGGTCTACTGAGGCTGTTAGCAGCTCACTGGCCCATGGTTGTAGAATTTTGTCTCATCATCCAATGCCCAGGAGTTTCTTACCCTACCTATGAAATCAGAATTCCTTGCAACTCTGATGGTTTACTAAAATGAAGGATGGGTATATCTGCTCAAGCATCCTGATGGATTGTTAGAAGTTAGCATGCATGCTTGCAGAAGCAGGAATGCTGTCTGTTGCATGGCAGACCAGCACAGTAGCCTATGGAGTACTCTTTGATACTTGTTAAAGTGGGCATGTGATGCCAGTTGCTCACTACCTCATGTCCCTTTAAGGAACACACATTTACTACAGTGAGGAGTGTTCTCTGAGCCCCAAGGCTACAAGCGGTTGAAGCTAAGGTGCATTGCCCATCTGACATCTCAAAGTTCTCATCTTCATACTGAAGGGATTGTGTCCCTTGACTTGTGCCCTGGTTGGCTGAATAGGATACAGGAGCCCCAGTTGGTAGTCTAGATCAGTGGTCTCCAAAGTGGGGTGCGCGAGACGATCCATTGGGGTGCGGGAAGAAAATATTAGAACTTCTATTTATATTTATTTTTTATCTAAAAAAATAAGAAAGAAATTAAGCTTTACTAATATTTAATATATGGATTGACACTGGCGCCCTCACTCGGTCCGTATGTCAGACAGTCACATGTCACGTACGGTACATGAGGTATCCTGAGGGAAGAGTGGGAATTCCACAACGCGGAGGGGTTGACAGTGGTGCCCTCAGTGGTGCCCCCAATAAATTTACATATATTGGGGGTGCGTGCTCAAAATTTTTTTACTGATAGAGGTGCGCGATCAAAAAAGTTTGGAGACCACTGGTCTAGATTGATGGAGGAGTAGAGTTAGCTGAACACTCAGAGCAGGAAGAGAATGGAATGCTGGTTTGTATTCTTAATTTCCATTTGACCAATTGGCATTAGTACTATGTCATGCATCACTAATGGTAATACACAACAGCTATCAAACTTCAGGCATTTAGGGTAGTCTGCCTTTGGGGAACCCTGAGACCACTGTTTATAATGTCTCATACAAATAGCTATGACTTGAACCTTAAATCCAAGTTCCAGGGACTTTAAGATGGTTAAAAAAAGATGAATACCTCCATCACTCATTTGGAATTTGCTCAGTTTTGCTTGTGATATTGGGATGGGGTCAGTCAAACTTGGTGACTGGGACACGGACTGGGAGTCAGAATCTCAGGGATCCATTCTTGGCTATGTCATTATCTTGGGGTGTGGTTTTTGGAAAGTCACCTGACCTCTTTTAAATAGCTCAGGCTGCTGCTATGCAAACTCTTCAGAGGCCAGTAATATCATGGGTGCTTTTGTTTTCCAACAAAGTACGTTCTTCCATTTGTGTGATAGTTCACATTTTTAAATGCCAAATAGGATGTGTTCTTCAACCCCTTCATATGTGGAACATCTGAATGAAAGCAACAGGAGCTGTACCTTGGGAAGACTTTCAAGACTGATCCACAGATCTATGTTGGACTTCCAGATAAACAAAAAGCAGGTCAGGTGGTTCTGTACCTTTGGAATTTGATCTGTTGTAATCAGGTATGCCAACTGTCAGTAAAGTTACAGTCAGTAAAAATCAGGCTACAAATGGCTGTCAGTAAAGTTTGTGAAAAAAACTTTAACAGTCAATAAAAACACTAAGCAACCATAGTTTGACTGAAACTCCAATGGGCAGAGCAGAGCAGAGCAGAGCAGAGTAGAGCCATCTGGTGTCTGAGCAGGAGCATGACACCCTGCAGAGAGTATTCACTCAGCCACAGTGCTGTTGCTGCTGTGTCCCACACTGCCTGTAATACTGCTGGGTTGAAGATAGGCTTCTTTGAGGGTCCATGCCAGGACAAGGAAAGAGGTGTCACTGAGGGTACGGCTGGGGGATGAGTTGTGGGGGAAGCATGGTGCAGGGTGCAGTTGGGGGCATTAAGGTGTGAAGGTGAAAAGGGAGTCCCTGGCTGGGGTTGGGGGGAAGCACAGTATAAAACTATCACCACCAAGTTGCCAACCCAAGAACATTTTTTTATTGCAAACTTTTTACCTTTTTAATATGGTTGATATTAACCCCTAACTTTAAACCCAGCCCTTCTAACTAGGACCTAGCTAGGGTGACCATCCATCCTGGTTGGAAATATGGGACATCTGGGACACTGCCCCCCTCCTTCCTTCTCCTCTTTTCCCTCTGTTCCCCACAAGTCAGTGGCACACTGCAGGAAGAGGCTGAAGTGGAGCGGCAGCCTGCCCAACCACTTTCCTGGGACACCACACCACTTTTCTTCCCTGCCAGACTGTGTTCCACACATGGGACACTCATTTTAATCTGCACCCCATGCCCAGGACCCTTCTCCAAAATCTGGGACTCTTGTGGGATGAATGGGACAGATGGTAACCCTAGGCCTGGCAGAAGAGTTACATTTTCACAGTCAGGGTGGCTAGGATCTGGAACCAACTTCCAAAGGAAGTGGTGCTGGCTCCTACCCTGGGGGTCTTTTAGAGGAGGCTGGATAATTACCTAGTTGGGGTCATATAAGCCCAGTATTCTCTCCTGCCCAGGGCAGGGGGTTGGACTTGAAGATCTACTTAGGTCTCTTCCGACCCTACATCTATGAATCTATGAATTTACCTTATGTAAAACACCTATCAGTAAGAAAGTGTGGCTGTCAGTAAAAAACTTGAAGAATGCCAAATGTTCTTGGATTAACAACCCTGGTTGTAATGGAGTCACATACAGATTTTGCCACATTTAATGGTGAAACATTCAATTCCTTATCTAGGATCACTGTTCATCGTGAACACTAATATGGCGGGCATTTAGGTGACAGCTTCAAAAGAGTTCAAACCACTTAGAAGATTGCCAAAAAGGGACATTTTGGGACTTTTGCACAGGTGATTTCTTAATCATACAAGTATTTTTAATGTCTTAATTAAAACTACTTGTGTGATTACAGGCATACCAGTATAGGCAAGTATTCAATAAGTGGGGTTTTTTTTTAGAAGCAATTTGTCAATGAAAAGTGTTTATGTAGGAAAAGAAGAATAATAGATCCTTGCTAATCTGCATTTTAGATAATCCATTGGCATTTGACAGCTTCTATTTATAGGGAATCTTCTAAAAGATGCTGAAAAATGAACCAACATTACTTTTTTTTTTAATGTGGGCACTTAACTGCTAAAAGCATGACATTAATATGGGTAGAAAATAACTGATGATACCAGGTTGAAAGAGCAAGTAGTACTTGAAAACAATAGCCTATCTAAATGCAAGTATCCTTTCTGTTTAAGTTTAATTAAAATGACATATAATTTAGTATTCTGTAAGACTAAGATGCTAGAGTGTGACTTAATAAATAGTGTCTGCCTGTTTAACGGTCTTTAAAACACGGCTTTAAAATCTGTTACTTTTAAATAAAACTTTATCAACAAATATTAAATATGTAACAAAACTTCATGTTTAATGTTTAACTGATCTTTAACTGTATAGGCTAGCTTTCCTTTCCTTTAAGCTGTTGCAACACGTGGATTCCTGTTGTCAAAGAACACTACAAGCAGGCCTCGCTGACAGGTTTGGGTCAGCTACAGAATGATAGATACCATAATTTTTCTATTTTTTGACAAGAGAGCTAGAAACACAGGCAAAATAAATGTGTGAATTTGTTTCCCACGCAGGGCTGAGGGGTGTATTCTGAGTGACTTGCAACAAGAATCTCAAGCAAAATTTCATCTCCCCATTTGTGCATAATCCTATGCATTCCCCTCTTATGTTAAATAACTGGCATTCTACTAAGCCTTCTTTCATTCTCATCTTTCATGGTGATATGTATGATGTAATGATCTGCATATTGACATATGAAATATGTCATTTTGATACTTAGAACACTATTGAAAATAATAAAACAATCTCTAAATCTCTACTAATAATTTACTGTGTTTTAAATACTCACTGGTGCTGAAACTTGTAGGCTAGGAAATTCTACAATTTCATCCTAAAATACAAAGGAAGCAATATATTTTTCTCCCTAACATTGTTCTAAAATAAATAGTTTTCAGTAAGACTTCATGCACATATTAAGTTGTACGTGAGTGTGTGTGCATGTATGTTTGTGTCTATGTATAAGCACACATTTCATTTATCTTAATGGGAGTTTTATGCAGAAAAGGTGCTACAATCATGGTTTAGATTATGCAGATTTGTATCAGCAGAGAAGGGGAGAGAATCAAGCTGAATGCTTCCATTAAGAAATATATGCCAAGTAAACAATGCTCATTTTTAGGACTCACAATATATGTAATATATATATAAAAAATGACTCTCAAAATGCTCACCGTTGCTCAAATATCCTTCACTTATCTATAAAGCACAAAATGCATTTCCTTCCATTTAAACTAGAACTGAACACCAATTCCATTAAAGTTAATGCATAAAAAAAAGTTCATGGCTACTGGATTGTCTGTTATAATACCATGGTCCTTGAGACTTACCAGCTACCCTGCTTGGTCCGTCCCGCCCAGGAACTGGCTCTGCTGTTCTTGAATAGAGGGTTGGGAGTTCGGGGATCTGGGAGTAAATGTAATTTACTGCATCTGGTGTCAGAGAATAGAAAATACAGTTAGATACAGTGGTATGAACCCATGGCTTGATTGCTTAGACAGCAGAGTCTTAACTTATCAATCCAAACAATAGACATCAGAGCTTTGTACTAAATAACTGGATCAAACTAAACAAAGTGCAAAGTCATTGTCGTGTGACTGGTGCTCAATAGACTAGCTGAGGTAGGACAGAACAAGTCCAGATGACTCAACTTTATCAGTTGCCTGCACCAAACTATTTGTCAGGAGGTTCTGGATTTATCAGGTCAGTGACCTCAAAAAAAAAGAGTTGTGGGGAGAGAAGTGAACCTTGTGCAATGGCTACTAAATGCTGTTTTAATTAGAAATATGGATACAACACAAGAGCTAAAAACTCTGGAGGCAACCACATGGAATGAAAGGCAAGTTTTTTTATGTTATTTATGTGGCATACTACTTTTATGTTTTGGGAGAGTCAGCTGGCATTTGGCTTTGATTTCTAAAGCTGAGTTTAACTGTAAAAAGTAACAAATAGATTCTGGTTGATACTATATCTACTACAGCATCCTACTTACCATAAATACTATAGCATATTTTATATACTGAATGTAAGCAATGAAAAACAACTGAAATATATATCTTTTAAAGTTGACCAAAAGTCAATCACATTTATGTTAAAAACGTTATCTTTATCTTTTCTCAGGGGTATATCCTATACACTGGAAAATATGGTATCTTATTCAATTAGGAATTTATATAGTTTGCAAATATTTACCAAGTTTCAAGACAGGCTGCAGTGAAAGGGAAATCTTATTTACTTTAAGGACATCCTACCTGCTTTACCACAGATATTTTAAGCCAGTGGTGCTCAACCTTTTGGCCCCATTGGCTGGATGAATGGCATAGGGCTCATCTGTGGGCCAGATCAGGCCCTGGGGCCCTGCATTGCCCCTTCTCTGTCCTGCATACTGGGATTGGACCCTGGGGGCCTAGTGCTACCCCCGTCTACCTCCTACACACCAGTATTGGGTGCCAGTGGCATGGTGCCACCTCTTCCTGTCCCTGTGAACTGGGATTGGGTTCTGGAGTGCTGGCAAAGACCCCTCTCATCTTCTCCACACAAGGATTGAACCTTGGGGCCTGGTGCTGCCCCCACCCAGCCCTGAGTGCTGGAATTGGATGCCAGATCCAGTATGCAGGGTTTGGGGCTTCCCACAGGTCTAGAGATTTGGCAGCAGGGGAGCAATGCCACCCTCCCACCCCCAAATTTCCAGACCCATGGGCCAAATGACGTGGCACTTTGGGCTGTATCTGGCCTGCGGGCTACAGATTGAGCACCCCTAGGTTAAGCAATTTGCCCAAGGTCACTCTAGCAGAGCCAGGGGCAAAACTAAAAGTGGAGCTGGGCAAATGAATGATTTTAATTTAGTGGTTGCAGCAAAAGCTGAAAAGGTTTGCATTGACCTGAAAACTGTTCAGATTTTCCTGCTGAAGCAACAAGTTTCCTTCCCAATTGAATGGAATGTTCTGTTTGACCCCAAATGAAACCAAACCCTTCCTCATCCCTCATAATTCTCTAGCTCAGTGTTTTGGATGCTCACCTTACATGTGGGGAACCCAGGTTTAAATTCTTCTCTGCCCAACCCAGGTTGCTGATTTGAACCAAAGTTATCCAGCACACAAAAAAGTGCCTGAATACAGGCTCACAATACATTCTACATTGCTGTTTCTTCGAAGGTAATGTCCATCCTACAGACTTGTCACTGTCACTCTGTCAGGGGTGTGAACAAGTGTGATCCTGGATCTATGTCAGCATAAATCCCTAGTGTGGATAATGCTACACCAATAAAAAAACTATACTCTTATCACTTTTGTTTTGCCTGGTAGGTATAGGGTGCAACTTCAGACTCTCTCTTTGCTTGTACATAGTAGTACATATCTCATTAGAGTGGGGAGATGAGAAGGACTACAGGATGTGTGAGTGTGTGACGCTATGCAGTAGAGGGAAAAACCAAGATTAAGAGTTCATTTGCTGGTTGCCTGGTGGCACATGTGAAATGAGGGGACTTCATCTAGGTTCCTATCAGCACATATCCGCCTTGAAAAACCCACCATAACAATTGGTTCCAGTCCTGGCAAGGATGTGAAGCAGATAAGGTACATGGAGTTTGAATCACCCTCTGAAGTCTAATGCTGCTTCTATGCTAAGCAAGAGCTTTATGACATGGTAGCAACCTGCAAACCTGGTCAACCCAGAAGACTCCACTTTTGCCAATTTGTGATGTGGGACAGGTGTTGAATTATAGAAATATTATATAGACGACAGGCTACAAGTGAGACCTCCAGCTCTAGGTTAAGGAACAGTCCATGAATAAGGAAGATCCCATTGCCAATGCTCATGCTATACTTAGTCTGGGTCTTAATGGAGGACTGCAAGGCTATAGCTGCTGATCTAGCCCCTTTTATCAGCACAGAAGCCCACAGACAAATTCACCCTGAAAACAGAGAATTGTGCAGTTTGTAACAAGTGAATTTCAAAACAAGAGGTTGGCCTGGAAAATATTTGTTATTTCTTACCTCAGTGGGCAATGCCTTCATAAATGGACTTGTACTTTCAATGCATGGTGTCTCCTAAAAGCCCTTCCCCCACTCCCCCACCTCCCCAGAAAAGCTTGGGAGATGCAATGATTTGGAATACAGCTGACTGAGCATTGGTCAGTAACAGCTGCTGTCTTTTATAGGGTTTCTTGCTCTTGGTCTGACTCATCCATGAAGTTACACTGGGTGCATCTACACGTGCTTAAGGCACTTTTTCTAATGCGCATTAAATTCAGTACCTCCAATGTGAGGTACTAAAGAAACATGCATTAGGCTGCCTTAATGTATAGTAACAAATGTGCACAGTTTTTAAGTGATGCTTAATGTGCAGTAGGTTATTTTACTGCACATTAGTGTAATTGCACTGTTTTTTGTAACATTTTAATGTACAGTAAAATAGGCTACTGTGCATTAAAGCGCACATGTAGATCAGCCCTCTGAGAAATACTGTCAGCAAGTGGCTAGGACATTATTATTTCTCAAATTTCTAAACACAGAATGGCTGGCTCTTTCTGCTTGCCAGAAGAAGCACCAGTTTGTGTTCTGGAAGTGATGAAAAAGTAATAGATAATTGTTTTTGTTCACAGAGCATATATGGTCAGAACAGAAAATTGGGTACCTGGATTATAATTCCTATTCTGACATTAACTCCCCTTTATGGTCCTTGATAAGATTTTAATTTCCCTGCTTTCATTTTTTCTTCTTCCCCTAATGATAGGGTGTTATGTGAGGGTTAGCTATAATTATGCATGTTTGTAAATAAATAAACAGAAGGGATATTTAACACCGTGCCTCATGGTTTATCTCTACCTACTAGAGATTAGGAGAAGATGTATGTAGGGGAAGATTTTCCCACATCTATGATCTTCCTCTGAAACATATGGTGTAGACCACTGTCAAAAGACAGGAACTGAGGTTGGATCTGGTATGGCAAGTCCTATGTTTCAAAGTCAAACTGAGGAAATATGACCTTGATTACACCTCCTCACTTCTCTGTACATGGCATTTACTTCACTTAGCCTCTTTACAATGGACGCAGATTTATGTCCAGATTTATTTAAAAGGTATAATTACTGTTGTGATGAAAAGTAATACAGCACCTATGTGAAAAATATTAATGGATTTTTTTAAGTGATCTCATTTTACTTAAAGCAGTGGTTCTCAGTCTTTTTTGTACCAGGACCTATTTGTAAGCACTGATGGCTAGTCCCACCCAGGAAATAGTTTAAGTAGAAAACAGCCCCCTGGCCCTGCTGTCACTCCTGACCTGCTGCCTCCTGCCCCTGGGCCCCAGTCCCCCGGTGTGTGGGGCAGGGAATGGGTGTGTGGGGAAGGCAGGGAGCAGGTGCCCCTCCCAGATTTGTGCACCCACTGCAGGCATGGGGCTGCAGCCTAGCTGGACAGGCATGGGCAGAAGCTGCCTCCACATCCCAGCAGGTAGGACTTGGCATGGGAGAGTGGAGCAGGGCAATGAGACTCATTGCTGCCACTGCCACCAGAACCCCCGTGCAAGCCACACCACCAGCAGTGTGAAGAGTAATGGATGGGGGGCAGAGGGGGAGGCCATGCTGCCCTCACCTTCTCCCTCTACCAGCCACTCATGCACCAGGCTGTGGCTCTACCCTACTACTATGGCCCGACTGCCACTGCTGCTTCCCTCCAGCCATGGCTCTACCCCAGAGAGGAGGAGGGGTGGCAGGCAGTGTCCCACCCCCCTGACACATTGTCTATGCCCCTCCCTCCCCATAGACTCACCTGCGGGGAGCTGTGGGAGCAGCCAAGTAATACAAAGGTCATGTTCACTGCTCAAAGTATGGACCCATGTATGTTTGAAGCCAGGTCAAAAGGGGAATATTTCAATACTTTTTGGATAAAGTAGGATATACATCTAATAAACAGGGAGCTGCTGATTGGGAGTGGGTAGCAGTTGTTTCCTTCTAACAGCTGCAGGTGGATAAGCTGGGGGTGATACAAAGATAGTAAAACTGCTCCAGTTTTAACCCTGGATGAAGCAGTGTTGATGCTGGAGTGCCTTTGCTACATTTGTATTGTTCTAGCCTTGCTCAAGCTTAACTCTTAGAATATAACAGCTGCTATTCTGTTTGGAGCAAGAGCCCCCACTCCTCCCACGCCTCCCCTTTTGAAATTGCTCCAAATGTACAGGTGTCCCTACCCTCTGTGTAAGTCCAGTGATGCCAGAGGAGCCACATCACATCTGACCATGATGTTTTTATATCCTTAGAAAATGGTCTTTGTTTAACCTAACTGAGAATGATGAACTCACAGTGTGCACACAGCCTCACACTATATCATGTCTCTGAGTTTTATTGCCACATTGTGTAGAGATAATTGATGCTTTCTGCAGCCTGTTTCATTCCTTGTTTAAATGAAAGCCTTGCCAGTTTTTTGTCTGCGAT